TAATTTTGGGTTTTGGACTAAAATATGACAGTCACTGAGGGCTCTATGAAATGTTGGGCATTTATCACCGACATTTCACAGACCGTTCAGCTAATTGGTTGATCAAGCGAATTACTTAATTGATAATCAAAACAATCCTCAGTTGCAGCCCTGAACAGGTTATTTTACTATTCCATCATAGACCCCAAGTAGGGAAAATGCACACCGTCAGTGATGTGTCCTGCTGTCTCATTAATCCACCGGTCACTCAAAACAATCAGGACAATAAGCATGGTAAATACAGTAAAGTACAGAGGTTCCCAGCATGCACCACAAAGAGGCTGCCTATCTCCCACATCCACAAAACATCCTCATTTAAACCTCATTATAAACCCAGTCAAAACACACTTCCTGTCACCTGTTGGTCAAAGTGGGACCAGAAAAAGTTTTAGGACAAATAAAAAAAAAAAGCTGTGCAAAATATACTCAGTTTCCAGTTTATTAGGCGCACCTTGTTAAACTAATGCAGTCCGAGTCCTGCATTCGCTCCTCTCTTTAGTGTTCAGTTTTTTTAAAGAGGCGTTGATTCAACTACAGGATCAGTTGGGAGGGTGTACAGTCATTTATACCAACAGATTTTTTTTGTCCACCATATTGATATCACTGAGGCTACGAGAAATAATTAGAAACATTCTGTTTCTTAATGCAATACAGCTCAACAGCAGAACAAACCAGTCTCCAAAATGATCCTACAGTTAAAACAGACATACAGTTGCACACACTGCACATTCAGCATGACAGCTGCAGTGATTAGACGAAAATGAAGATTTAATGATTACTCAAATATCAAAATACTGTAGTTACTGCGTAGGTCTTGGTTCCGGGTTTTGGACTGGTAGTCATATAAAACATCTGCTGATGTCAACTTCTGGCACAGTTGGTAACGGTAGTGGAGAGAGAACTGCACAAATTAAAGAGCTGGTTCAATTTGAATAAATTATCTCTGAACTTATCTAAAGCTAAATTCATGGTATTTAGTAATAAAATGATAGATAATGATATTAAAATTGATAACATATTAGAAAGAGTTAATTATATAAAGTTTTTAGGAGTGATAATAGATCATAAACTGGCATGGACATACCATATACAAAATGTTCAAAAGAAAATAAAAATAACTGCAATACTGTATAAGGTACAATATGTTTTGAACAAAAATGCATTATATATATATTGTACAGTTGTCTCATCACTCCATATTTAACATATGGAGTAGAAATTTGGGGAAATACATATAAATCTAGAACTACTCCAGTCTTTTTACTACAAAAAAGGTCATCAGATTAATTACACATTCTCCATATAATACCCCAACAAATCCCTTGTTTATTCAGTTGAAAACATTAAAATTTTATAACTTGGTAGACTTGTGTACTGCTAAACCTATTTATAAGGCAAAACAACAAACCCTCCCTCAGCCTTTGCAAGCTATGTTCAGTGTAAGGGAAAGTAATTAACAAACCATATTGTAGAACTAAATTAAGTAATAGTAGAGGTGTATGTTTAACAAACCATATTGTAGAACTAAATTAAGTAGTAACTGCCCATCTAATAAAGGTGTTCAGTTGTGGAATAGTTTTTCTGATGAAATAAAAAGGCTACTTCAGATATACTCAATAATAAGAATAATTATCATAATGCATGTTCTTCTAAATATATACTCAGAATACTCAGTATTTTTATATTAAATTTATGTCCATTAGTGCTGCTTGTGTGGAGTAAGGGTAGGCGTAATAAGCTTTAGCTTCAGCCTACACCTTTGGTCAATAAACATTTTGTTTTTATTTATTTTTGTATGATTATGTATGTGTGCATACATGTTTTTGTTCAAATGGATGTATGTACCCTTATATTTCATGCTTTTTGGTGTAAAATAATTGCAATTCTAATTTTGCTTGTTGACCAAAAACCTAATAAATGAAATAATAAATGAACTTGTCACTGTCAACTATCCAAAAATCTTGTCTTTAACATTCAAGTAAGTTTCTCCTAAAATTGGCAACTGTCTAATAGGAGTCACTGGTCTTCCTGTTGCAGGGGTGATGATGATGGACTGAACAGCCTCCTGTAGCTCAGTCCGCTGTCCTTGTTTGTCTAGATTTACAGCTCGTAGTCACAGAAACACTTCCCAACTATCACAACCACCTGGAGAAGGTGTGGGAAATGCATCAAATTAAGGAATTAAAAGTCGGTTTATCACCTTTGAAAGGCTTTTTTGAGGAATCCAGTGCTTTTCGAGACCTGCAGATACACTGATCAGCCATAACATTATGACCACCTGCCTAATACTGTTTACACAGGAGTCAATGTGGCAGGGGGGCACAC